CATTATTTTAGATCTTCGTGTCATTTTTGTCATTTTTACCCATTAAGTTTCCTTTTCGTGTTTTTTTGGTAGTGAATATTTCATAAATTTACAATCACACTCTAAAACAAAGATTTTATTTTGTCATCAGTTCATGATGAAATTCGCTGCGAACTCAAATGGACCCCGACTCCGTTGAACTCAAACGGACAGTAAATTGTGAATTTTTTGACGTGTTTCACATTTTTCCAAAATTGGTTTGCAGCAAAACATCTCAACGTGGTCAACGCTATTGCGTAAATAATTGAGAAGCTTTTCTTCAATATTGATATTTCGCGATCGATCTGATCGAATTCGTGGTTCTGTGGCTTTGAAACGGATATTTTGGTTTTGGGGGGTGGAACACTCGTGGAAATCTTGATTTTTCGAAAATCGCAAAATTCCAAATTTCTTCCGGCGTCTATTCATTTTTTGAAACTACACAATTGAAGATTGACAGTTTTACTTTCTCGCTACGTCATCCAGAATAGAGGGAAAGTAATGTAATGTCGCGGGAATTTTATTATTGGTTGCGTAGGCGTCCGCGGCCGGAGTTGGTGTTATCTGGGCTATCCGTGACGAGCCGCTTCCCGGACATGGTGCATCATCCCGACCAGCCCATATAACACGAATTTTATGATTACTTTTTAGGTCGCTTTTTAACTTCTAGGTCATATAGCGACCACTGTGGTTGTTAACTGTAGAGGGAACCCATAAGGACAACACGAACACATACTCAAACATCCTTGCCCGAGACGGGATTTCAATCCACGACCCTTCGAGCCGAGGCAGCTACCTTCAGCCATAGCAACCTCGGGTATCCCTACCGACGAAAAAAACAACAAAAACCAACACTTCTTATTACTGGGCCCTGGTACCGAAAAAGTGAATAAATCCAGTAGCTAAATTTAGAAGGAAAAAATATCCTCTAACACGTGTAGCCAGAATCCATGACTCGTGGGCCCTTGATACCGATAAATCGATGGACCGTAAAACCGTCTGTGAGCAACGCTAGTGGCTAAACCGTTCGGCCAATTTGTTCCAAAATTGGTATTCCCCAATCGATCTGGCTAATGCCGTGGCCCCTTGAATTTCAAACCGATATTTTAATTTTGGGGGGTACTTTACAAGAAGCCCCTGGAACATTTAAAAAATTTTCAAACAAATGGCTTCAAATTTTCTCAAGAGAATAGTGCAGGTATCATTTTCATTAAAACCCCCCAATTTTTCGAAAATTGCAAAAATTCAATTTTTTTCAGCGTCTTTCTACCACTAGTATTATGAAGACTTCGTTTCATACTGGGTACGTGTGTGTGAAAGAGGCAGTTTTTATTTTTTTATGTAACTTTATTTCGTTAATATTTAACAACTTTCTTCTGTTTTTGGTTAAATTTTGACCTCAGATTGTGTAAAGGATACTTATGAAGGAATGGTGCAGGTTGCATGTTCGTTAAAATTCCCGATTATTAAAAAATTGTAAATTTTTTGTGTGTCTTCTTTCAACTATTTCCAAATGTTAATAGTTGGTGTTATTTTGCATATTTTGAATTCCCATGTCCCATTTGCTAGCCTTCAGGGGAGGTTGCAATGTGATAATGACATTCCGCCCTGCGAGACGCTAGTTGTAGTTCTGTGAAGTCCGTCTCATTGCTGGGACGCGCTTTAGCTGTATGAAACGCAGTTTTAATTGTCAAATTTGTGTTGATATTTGCGTGAACATATTTAGTTTTCGCACCTTACGTTCCACGCTTTCTAATAAGTTTTTCAAAAACTGAGTTGTATTAATTCGTAGTTAATTAATAGTATTACGTAACCATTACTAAGGGCAAGAAAGTATGTGCTGTTTGAACCCCACTAGTTCTTGATGAAATTTGTTCTTCAAAGACATTGAATTAAAGTAATGTGCAATTTTTCGAAAATGAGTTATTTTTGCGTTCTGCGAGAAAATAAAAAAATAAAGACTTATTTTCTCAAAATCGACAAGAAATATTTTTCTTTACATTTTTTACTCGTAAGTGCATGTGTACTCGAAATAAACAGTGGCATTGGTCTCATTTTTGGAGAAATCTGTATTTTCGAAAATTACGAAAAATGAACGTTTTTGAAGTACAACATTAATAATAGATTTTTGCCTAAATTAAAGTTGTTCTAAAAATATTCTTAAAGTACAATTTATTGAAGAAACAAATTGTTCTCGCATGTCAGCTTAAAGTTTGTGCAATATATAAAAAAAATTCTCCTCCAATTGTTTCTTTAAATTTATTTTTGTTCGAGGGTAGCAAAGAACAATAAAGAAAATGGTGCAGGTCTCAATTTCGTCGAAGAGTATTTTCGAAAATTGCAAAGGTTCAATATTGGTGGTAGAGATTTTTTGTTAAATGAAATCTGTTTTAAATTATGAGTAATTTAGCAGAATTATGCAAATTTTCGAAATTGCGTATTCGAATTCCCGGCTCTTCTTTTGCTGGAATCTTTCCGAGAGTTATCTGGTAGCATTGCACTAATAGCGAAGCCCCGAGGCAGTTTGATAGTATCAGAATACCTTCTCATTGTTGGGATGCGCCTCTGGGTATATAATAAAGTATTTCGGAAAATGTATTGATGTTAAGATTGTTTTCGCACCAACGTTTTTGAATGTTGAATTTTGAGTTTTCACGTGATGGATGTGTGAATTTAGACATATTGCAGTATCATTATTTAATGCAATGGTTGGGGAGACGAGTAAATGAACGCTGTGGTAGCACCCCAGTCGAAGTCGAATTGTAGCAAGTTAGTCTGAATTGGAAACAAAAAAAGAGTGAAATATTTGTTTTCATTTGGCACGACGACACCGACACGACACGGACACGTCACAACACACGGACACGTCACAACACACGGACACGTCACAACAGACACGGACAACGTCACAGAACAAGGACACGCAAACACGCACGGAAACGTACAACAACGTACAGCGGACACGTCACAACTACGACACGACACGCACAACGACACGTACAACAGCGGACACGCTACAACACGACACGGACAACGTCAGCAAACACGACACGGACACGTCACAGACACGACACGGACACGTCCCAACACAGACGGACACGCACATCACGACAGGACACGTCAAGACACGACACAGCCAGAAGGACCTAACGTACAACACGACGACGGACGTCAAAAGTCACAACACGACACGACACGTCACAACACGACACTTACACCGTCACAAACGACACGGACACGTCACAACACGCACGGACGTCACAAAGACAGACAGTCACAAACGACACGGACACGTAACAACTACGACCGGACCACGTCAACAACACGATAACGACAACGTCACAGACAACGACAAGGACACGTCACAACACGACACGACACGTCACAGAACGATCTACACAACGTACAAACTACACGGACACGTCACAACACGACCGACACTCCAACACGTCAACAAGACGACACGTCACAACACCACACAACACGAAAAACGTCAAACACGTCACAAGCGACACGTCACACACAAAGACAACGCTACAACATCCACTTCAAAGACGACACGTACACACGTCACGACGACACGTCACAACGACAGTCACAAAGACACGCACAACGACGTCACAACGACACGTCACAACACGTCACAAGACGACAACGTCACAACACGTCACAAGACGACACGTCAGACACGTCACAAGACGACACTACGACAACGTCACAAAAGACGACACGTCACAGAACACGTCACACAGACGACACGTCACAGACAACGTCACAAGACGACACGTCACGACACGTCACAAGACGACACGTCACAAGACGACGTTCAACCAAGACGACACGTCACAAGACGACACTCACAAGACGACACGTCACAGACGACACGTCACAAGACGACACGTCACAAGACGACACGTCCACAAGACGACACGTCAAGACGACACGTCACAAATGACACGTCACAACACGTCACAAGACGACAGTACAAACGTCACAAGACACACCACAACACGTCAACACAGACCGACACTCACACATGTAAAACGACACGTCACACACTCACAAGACACACGTCACAACAGTCACAAGACGACACGTCACAACGCGTACAAGACGACACTCACAAGACGACACGTTCACAAAGGACACGCACACCGGACACGACCGCGCGCGCCTCACCGGCAGGACGCGCCGTCGTCGCCACCTCGACCGCCACCACGACACGACGCCGCCGACCGCCGACGCCCGCCACACCGACACGACGCCGCCACCACCGACACGAACGCGCACCACCGGACACGACGCGCCACCACGACCCGCCCACCGAACGCGCTACGAGACGCTGCCGCCGCCGCGCCGCGCTGCGGCCGCCGCGCACATGCCACCGCACGTTGCACGCACGCAACCGCCATCGCCAACCGCACGCCACGCTACCGCCGCACGCCACGCCACCGCCACTGCCACCCGCCACCACACCGCCCCAACCACCGCCACCCACCAACAACACCCGACCACCTACCGACGACACGACGCCGCCGTTGCCGTCGTTACCGGTACGACGACTCCGCCGCCACCGACACGACGACGACGACGACGACGACACCTATACGACAGCGTCACCAGACGTCGCTACCGTCAACCCCACCGACACGACACTGCTCCCGTCACGTCGCCTCCGACACATAAGACCGACTCCTCCGTCCCGACACCGCACCGTCAACAAGGTTTTTAAGAATATTTTCAAGAACGAAGATCGTTATTCACCTTACTGTGATCTGAAGAAAGTAAAATGTTTGTTTTTGAAGTAGAATTAAATTTTCTGTTTGCAAGTTTGCTCGATTGTTTTTTGTTTCATTTCTGATAATAAGAGAGTTCCAGATTTATTTATTTAAATAGGACTTGTCTGAAGTTGTTTGAAAGGCTGAAGTTCTGTATGAAAATATATTTATTAGAATGTAATGTGTTTATTTCAAATCTTGCAGTATCTTATGAAGAGTTGTAAAAATTTAAAAGGAGGACTTCAAGAGGTTGCTGACCAATTGGAGTTGGAAAGAATTGGTCCACAACATCAGGCTGGTAGTGATTCGCTGCTGACGGGAATGGCGTTCTTTAAGATGAGAGAGGTAAGCATGATAGTTATTGCACTTTTTATCGTTATAAGCATTAGTTTTTATGTTGAGGAGAGGTATGTGCCAGTAATCAAAATTTGACAGGTGGGGTTTGGGTGATGTGACAATAATTGTGTTCCGTCATCCTACTAGTCCTACCCTCCTGCAACACATTCACTACCTGCTCTTTCTTCAGCCCCTTCTGCCAATGGGTGGCCTTTGGGATTGCAGATAGGGCTGTGGGCGCAGAATAGCGAGCTGTTACTGTTACGGTTGTTTCAGTTTCTTGCCACACTCGTATCCTTTTTATTATTACAGATGTTCTTTGAGGATAACATTGATGATGCGAAGTATTGCGGTCATCTGTATGGACTCGGAACGTCCTTTGTGATGAACGGCAACAGTTACCACGACAACGGTGACAATAGCAGCTCTTCGTGATCTATGAGGATAAGTTGGGGCCAGTGAAGAAACGAACAGTGTGTGTGTGTCTTGTGTTTGTGCTGTTTGTCAAGAAGTTAGTATTTTTAAAACGAAAACTCAAAGCCCCAGTGGACAATATTTCTACTATGAAGACATTTTGATGTTTTATTTTACAAAAAATGTCAACAAACATTTGATAGTATAAAATAATGTATGGACATGAGGTGAATCTTGAAAGTGTTAGAAAGATAAAAATGGAGGTTATTATTAGTCAGTGTCTATTCCTAGAAACAAAAGTAGTTTGCCAATTATTGAATATGTTTGAGCAAATGGTGATTAGTAGAAGTTATTATTGTTGTATTGATAAATTCTCTTTACCCAAATATAGTGAAATGATAGTAATACCTTCCATTCTTTCTTTCTGGATGAAGAACAGTATATTTGTCTTTCACATGATTGTGTCTGGTAATATGGTTTTAAAACCTTTTTTGTTTGTTATTGAAGGTTAATTCCAAGTGCCTTTTGAATTTAAGGTTCTTGGGTATTACTAAAGATAATCAGACTGTGAAAGACAGATTAGTGTTACTGGTTGCTGTTGCACTGCCAAAAGAAAGAACCTCTTTGAGGTACCAATGCATGACTTTTCACTGCAATACTGATAATTTATTACGTAACTGGTTTCATTCACTAAAATTAGCATGAACCTGAATGAAAAAGAAAGAATGAAAATATATTGAGAAGATTTTATATGCTTAGAATTAAAACTGTAAATAGTAGAACAATCAATTTTGTGCAAATGCGAAAAATAAATCTTAAATATCACATATATTTAATGGAAAATATACTGTACAACTGTGAATTATTTTGTGGTTTCTTTGGAAAATGTTCTTATAATTAAAACTCATCAATTTAAATGAGATTTTATATTTTATACATGGTTACTCTGTTCAAGAGATTTAAATAGCTATTCATTAATGTAAGTTCTACTGTTTGCAGACTTTGTATTGGATTAAAGCCAGATATAGAATAATACATGTGAAATAACATAGTACTTGTTTCTTTAGGTAAGTTAGAAAAGTAAATTATGCATTGGAGGTTGTACCGTATTTACTTAGATATCAAACAAAGTTAATGATGACATAATTCATATGGTTTTGGTAAAATACTAGAAATCAGTGTTATAATGAAATTTTTTTTCATATTCACTAAAACAATGCAGTGATTCCTATTATAACAAAGGACATTCTTGTGAAACACATTTATCACATGTGAAAATTGTAAAGGACTGAATGTTTTGTGAAAATGTTTAGTTTAAATTTCTGTACATCTTTATGTCCATTGCAGAAATGTGCCTTTGTTGACTGTAAATTATTGTTGTCATGGTGTTTATTATTATCAAGAGTTACTGCCTTAATAGTATACAATGGCTCTTAGAAATTGATGTCTTAAAAGGATGTTATTTGAGTAAATGCGGTATAAAAATTTCACAGAAGAAAAAAAGGTTCAGGAAAATGAAATTCCTACTCTTTTTCTTAGATTTTTTGTTGGGGTAGTAGATATTAATCAACATTGTATGTAATTGTATATATATACATAGTAATTCTTCTTTCTGTTGCTTTTTTTGTAAAACTTCTCAATTTTATAGATGTACACTAATGTCAGCTTTCAAGAAAGAATTCATAAATAGGGAGATTTTATAGTTGTTGCATGACAGTCAATGGTGTAATCCAGAAAAGATGGCAGGCATAAAATTTCTGTAGAACTGAACAACATATTTATGTTAGCAACTAGTTGCACAGCCTTCTACAATATACACAATATGCATTTGCTATCAATTGCTGCTTAATTGTAGTATTTTTAATTCTGATCTATTGTAATTAAATATCTTGGCATGGAATGACTTGTGTCTAGCTGTTTTGAATGATATATAATCTAAATTTCATGATTCCATTTATTGTTAACATTTTAGATGGCATTCTTCAGGCATAATTTTTCTGCTTATTCTTTATTTATATGCATGGTGATAAGAGACAGAAACTCCCTCACCAATCATAATTCCATGGCCTTTGTAATTTGTTTTGATTCATAATTGGATTAAAACTAAATGTATGGATGCAAAAAAGCACCAGTGTGAAATCCAGAGTGATCAGATTGAAAAAAAAAAAAATGCAAGAAACTTAATCTGTTGTCATGTTTCAAATTTTTGGGATTCTTAATACATCAGTGAACTTTAAAATGTTTAATAATCCATAAAATTAATATGTAGTGAAGTTGATGTAGAATGTTAGGGGTTTGTTGCTGTACCCTGGATTGAATACTGTGCTTTTATCATATTTCTTGATAAACAAGTGAAAATTTATGAAGTTTGTATCATTTGTGGGTAGGGTGTTAAAAGGTACTTGGATATTACAAAACCATTTACAAGCATTTGAAAGTTGTTCTTTGAGAAAAAAAAGCATTAGTACAAATTACAAGGCTGTGAATGTTAGCACAGTTTCCATATCCTTGGACACGTTTGATAATAGTTGGCCATTCTGAAATGTACATTAATATTAGCTCCATGAAGAAAATATATATAATTTTCTTTCACCTTGTCCTCTCCACCAAAATTATTTCAGCTCTTAAAATGTCATTCTTACAATAATGGAAATTTTTACTGAATGTAATGTAAATAATGCATTAATACTTTTTGTCATTCAGTATGAATCAAAGATATGACTCAATTGTAATTATCATATGACAATGGACATTCTGCTACTGAATGTTCAGAAATTTCTTCGTGAACAAAATTTTGTATTTTTAGTTGGCTTTGTGATGTGATCAAATATTACAGTTTAAGTATGTTTCATTATGTAAAAAATTCTTTGATACATAAATGATCACCCTTAATTTCTTATAATGAGGATAGTTCTTTGTTGTCATGGTTTGTATATGATGTGAGGAAGTACATTAAGTATACAGTGACTTGTGTTTTTTGCAGTGTATGGTGTTAAGCATTTTTACGTTTTTTGTAGTTAGTCCTTGATTTAATTTTGAATTCAGTTCGTAGAGTACCTAGTCCAAATTCTGAAATGAATTTTATTTTGGTTTCATTTTTATTGATTTCAAGTCTTGAGAAATTTTATCCAGACATTTTTTTGGTAGGTAACTGCACTAAATATTTATGCTGAAAAAGTATTTTATATGAAACAAAAATGTATACATTTTTTAGAGTTGCACAGTTTACTTCAAGGAGTTGTGTTTTGAATTAGTGAATCTTGGAGATGATTTTATAGAAGGAATAAGTGAAACTGATTACTTTTTAAGTTGGTTGTTGTGGGTAATGAGGTAAAGATTAAAATTAACTGACCTATTTTGAACTTTCACCAAAAATAATCTACATCTGTAAGGGTTAACATTTCATTAGATTGCCACTTAATACTTCTCTAATTTAAAATGGATGTTACAATCATTGGTTACTTCATTTTACGAAAGTAAAGAAATTCTGCACGTTTCGGTTTTCGTCCCAACTAATATATTGTGGTAGATGATATTTTGTATTTAAATTTGTTACAATTGTAGTAAAGGAGAAAGGTGTGAATAGAAAGCAGCAGTCATCTGTAAGGAAGAATTACTAAACTTACATAAAAATAACAAGAATTTTCTCGTTCATTGTGGGGTTAGGAGGTGAATTAGAGTACTAAATATATGATTCGGTACTGCCTTAGTTGCTGCGTGGGCCATTAACGTTATTAGTGTACTAAAGTCTCAATAATAGTTACAAAGAAACAAGATGTTGGATTAGGGCCAAACTAGTTTTGTCAGGTACCTCTTTCTAGGTTTGTGAAATCATCTTTGAAGAAATTGTAAAATTTTGATAGTCATTATCATTCAACGTGTAACTGTTATAAAAAAGTCTAATAATAACTTCACTGAACCCTTATTATAAATAATTTTTCGTTTTTATTAATGGTTGAAGTAAATACAACTATAAAAAGCCCTTGCTTAAAATTAACTATCAGCATTGAAAGTCACTTGTATAATGGCATGCAATTGTGCATGACTAGAAGGCTTGCCATTGAGAGTCATTTAATGAAAATTGTGACCCTTTTAAAAAAATTTTTGTAATAGGATTTGAGCGGACAAACATTTTGCATTATTAAGTTACTTTTAAGCATGCAATGCAAGTGCATTTGATGTGCCCTTTGCTGCATTTGAATGGCAATACCCGCTGAAATATTTGTGTACGAGAATTCAGTTATAAGTCGACTTTTTTGAGGGCTGTGGAATAGAACTGAACGTGCAACTTTTAAATTTGCAAAAGGTCATTTTTTCCCCGCGGTTGAGCGATTGAGCCACTTTCGTTGCTGAGAGGGGGCGGAGGTGGTCTGCTTCCCCATTATGCTACTTCGTCTGGCATTGACCACAGCGTTAATGCAAGGGGATCCTTGGAGACCAAAGGAACGTGACAAAGAAATGATGTGGAAGCTTACCTAGGAAATGGAATCTTAACAAGTTTTCGTGCGGCTCCGTTGGCAAGCTGCGGGGACGAGGTGGCAAGGACCGGCATATCCCCGACTCGCTTCGCGGAATGCGACTCGCGCTCATCAGTTGCGATGCTTGTGGAACAAGACGCGGGTGGAATGGGAAGTAGATATCGGCGAGTGTTGAGGTTGGATTTAAAAATACGTTACGTTTACCACGTGAACGGAATAACCGCCATTTCAATTCGTTTAAACCAAAAGCATTCGTCTATTGATATTTTACATTTTTCGGAGGAGTGGATGCAAATTTATGACGGTAAAACGGTCGTTATTCTTCACGGTAAGGTCGCCGAAGCCCTGATAATGTAATCCATTTTTGGTTTTTGAAGAAGTGATCGATGGTACCCTTTGTCGAGATGTTTTTATGAAAGTTGAGACATTTGTTTTAAATTAAATTTCATTTGTTGTCGAGCTGTGTGAAATGTAGTGTCACGAGCACACGGGAATGATTTGACGAAATTTTTTAAGCGCTTAAACCTCAAACCATAAGTGTTTGTCATTTGTACGAAGTAAAATAAATCCTTGTTGGTTAATTCCATTCTATAAAGGGATAAACATATCCCAGGTGCAAACGATACTATACCACCACGGAGCAAGTAACGTCGTATACAGCATCGTCAGCCTGTAGCGAATAACGTTTCGTGTTTAAAATATAAATTGAGATGAAATTAACTAAAAAAAACATAATTTAGAGCACGCAATTGGCACGGAACGTAGATGTCAATCCGTGCATCTATGAAGAAGCTAACGGGCGGGCCCCTTTCTGCTTCATTCCAGATGTTTAATATCCCCCACGACGCCTCTTGCCCCATCATGATAGGCTACGACATAGAAGAGAGTCGCGGAGAGCCCGAAGACGCGGACGAAGAGAGCTACTGCAACGGGGACAGCGGCGTCGGCGACAGCAGCGTCAGCAGCAGGGGGAGCCGCGGGGGCGGCGGCGGATGCGGGGCGCGGCGGAAACGGCGGGGGGCGTGTGCGCGGCGCACGAGTGCTGCCACGCCACCAGTGAATGCGCCTCGGCGGGGCGCCCGCTCTCGCCGGAGAGTCGCGCGCCAGGGGGCGGAGGCGCTGCGGGGCGGCGGCGGCGGCTGCCGCGGACACGCGCCGTCGCCCCCGCGCCACCGCCGCCGCCGCCACGCCCCCGCCTCACGCCGCCCTCCTCCCCCTCCTCCTCCGCCGCCGCCCGCCGCGCGCCTCCCAAGCGTCGGCGAGGTGAGCGAAATGTTACGCTGTACAGGATGTGCCCGAAGTGGCGGACGGTTGGGTGAGAATGTTTGGAGGCAACACAATTTCATCTTCATGTGATCGTTTCTTTATCTACAGTTTTTTTGTCTTTATTCAAATATTATTAATTTCTGCGATGCTGAATTTCCACTGCCGTTTGTATTTTAGTAGCTCCCTGAATTGATTTTCTGCCCCCCCCCCCCTGAAAGCGTCAAGAATTTCGCGCATTGTCTAGAAAGAAGCATCTAATGAGTTAGCGAGGTGAATGAAATGTTTTGCTGAACCAAAGTTTCAAACAATTAGGTTTTAGTGTGATGAAAACCCTCCATTATCGAATATCGAACCAGATTCGGTTTTTGCAGAAAGCTTTCTTTCCTACTGTAATTCATCCAGGAGGGTCGTAAGGACATACGAACATTGGGCCCAAAGCGAGAAGAGTCCCAAGAATGTGTGTGTGTGTGTGTGTGTGTGTGTGTTTATACCAAGGAACTGGCGATTCATTCACTGTCACTCGAATGCGAATGTCTCAGAACCCACTCGCTGCTCGCATGAATCAGTTCAAACGTCATTGTCATTCAAAAATTAGCTTTGGATCGAAATGAAATTTCCACCCGCTGTTTCTCGTTCACCATTTCTAAGTCTGTCACACAAATCAATAACAGTGGCTAGTGCGATGCCTGTCCTCTTGGCTGTTGGAGAGAGTTCTGTCCACGCAAAACATCAATCTGTAAACCCATGGACATTATTGTGTATGCCTACAGGTTCAATTTCTTCATAAGAGCCATCTCCTAAAGAGTTGGTATATTTCAGTTTCTTCCTTCGTACTGTGATTCGTATTGTTCATGGTGTACATCGATGCGACGAAAAGATACTCGTTCAAGTACTTTTCGTGCATAAAAGATAACTAAAAAGTAAATATTGGCGTATAAAGAGCATCTCGTGAATGAATCTTATGACTTGAATATTCAGTGTCATAAAATATCCTGAAAACAATTTAATTTTATTATCGGGCACGCATTAACTAATGTCTTGAAACGAACAGAAAACGGTTGTATAAGAGCCGCGAATTTTCTTGAGATTCCTGAAGCTTTCTTCATTTCTTTTCTTCTTTATTTATTACTCGCAGATTTACGTAGTACTTCCGCTAGATAGCTAACATGTGTGTCACTCCGTCTAAAAGTGTTACGGTGTATTATTGCATATTTCTAAAGACTTAACTTAAGCTAGTCGCGATATATGGAGGCATTTGCGTATATTTCGTAGGTAACTTTTTCTATCTCTTAAAAAGAACAACTTACAACACTTTAAAGTCTTTTTTTCAATCTTTATTTTTACTTTCTCGCCCTTCGTAAGCAAAGAGGAATGTCCTCGTGCTCTGGAAAACTGCTAATTTTCCACAGAATATCTTATTGCTGGTAGCGGAAACGGGAAAAAGCATGTTCCAATACATAATAAATAACTTCCTCTAACACGTGTAGTGAGAATGTTTTATGGGTCATTGATACCGAACAATCGATTAAATGCAAAATGTCTTATCTGTCCCGTTTGTCTGCCTGCCTACCCACCTGTGGTTAACTCTGGCGCCTAAACCGTTCAGCCGATTTTCTCCAAAATTAGTATTCCCCAATCTATTTAAAGAAACTCATGGCCCAGCTTGTTTGAAAATGATATTTTAATTTTTGAGGGTGTTTTACATGAAGCATGAAAAAAAAAATCAAATTTTTTCTCAAAAATGGCGTCATTTAAAAAAACGACAAAACTTTGTTCCAGAATAGTGTAAAAGAATGACGCAAGTCTAATTTTCGTTGAAATCTCAGAAGTTCGAAATTTGTTCAGCGTCTTTCTACAACTACAAAATTGAAAATAGTTTTTTTGTTAATGAAATCTATTCTTCAAATACAGATCTTGAAGTAAGGTAATGTACAATAATTGGAAAATATGAGTAGTTTCCGCGTAATTTTGCTTGAAATATAGGCAATTTTTAAACAATTTGTTTTCCAAAAAGGGTTTTTTGAAATTTTTTCTTTAAATTTTCTTCACATTAAAGAACGATAAAAAAGTTGGCGCTTGTCCCTCTTACGCTCTGGTTTTTGGTGATTGCAGGAAGGGCACATTCCAAACCTACAAACTTTTTCTTAATTGGATCTTTAAAAATGGTCATGTACAATGCTTTCAAGAAACGAGTATTTTCGCTGAATTTCTGCTTGAAGGTAATGCAATTATGAGAAAAAACGTATTTCAAAAACAGCTCCAAATTTATTCTTTAAATTTTTTCCATAGATGGAACAAGGAACACTGAAAGGAATGGCGCAGTCCTAATTTTCGTTGAATTTTGAATTTTCGAAAACTGCAAATTTAAAAACATTGCGAGAAAGTAGGGGCCATTGGAGCCACACTTGTTAAATGCCCCTATCACGTTTTTGCTTCCTGGATCGTTGCTCTCAGCAGATTGCCGAAGAGGGAGGCGGAGAAATGTCAGTGTCAACTGCCGCGAATTTATAAGAAATGTAGGGGGTAAATACGACGGACACCGCTGCCGAACCCGCAACCAATGGCGGCGTGAGTGGCTCCCTTTACCATTGTTTTCTCATGCGTATCAATTTTAATATTTTAGGTTAAGCCGACCAGAGTATTAAAAACGAGTCTTTTAAAGGAATTATTTATACTTTAGAATTGATCAAACTCTCATTCTGGTAAATTATACGTACATTGAATGCAATAAATCATATCGATGGACAAAGATTTCATGTCTAAAAACAAGGCTCGAGCTTTATCACATCTGCAATTGCTAGTCCTATGAAGTATTATTTTGACGGTTCAACATATGACAGGAGGGACCATCTTCGGTATAGATCTTCCTACAATAATTATAATATAGATTTCTAGATATATTCAAGTAGTACTCAAGCTTTTTATTCGTTTGATTTCTGTCACAAAGTAACCCAACAATTTTGCTCAACTCTTAATACAATTTCTATCAGAATTTTGTGTAGTATTACCCCAGACTTTTGATAACGTGACTTACAGTCAGGGTCGGGCAAATTTTGCGCATATACCTAATTTTTACTCGTCACATCGAAATAATAGAAAATATATAAGCTTCCAGGATACTTACGTTTCCCTCATTTCACAATAACTACTCACAAAAAAGTACTCAAAATTCCCACATTTCACGAAAAAGTACTCACATAATCTGAACAAGAAGCGCTTACTGGGTAGAAATACACTATTTCTGCACACCAAATCACTAAATCAAAATATCTCTACCAGAAAAATGAATCATCCAAAAAACCCTTACTGCCTCAAATTGCCACCACAGCTCTAAAACGCATTATAATTATTGTATCAAAACGCTCAAAGCGCTACTGTTTTGCGCTTTCGCCGCAACTTCATTCTTGGAAGCCAAAATGCATGGAAGCGCCATAGATTACATTATTTCTTCTACATACTATGTTTTAGATATTTGTATTTTGGTGCTAATGTCCATCGATACAAAAATGTGTCCTCTAATGAGCGGCCGGCTTGCAGCTCTT